AATTGTTACTAGTAAGAATTGTATTAGAGAGCTCTCTAACTGTAATTCTTACTAGTAAGAATGTAGCTGTAGAGCTGTGGAATTGCATTCTTACTAGTAAGAATTGCATTGTAGAGCTCTCTTTTCAGCGCGACCTCATTATGATAATTGCGCCTCATGCATATTCATAAAACGGGTGACTATCTGTCCCGATAGCCTTGTGGGCAGTCCGTCGATAACACCGTTGTGCTACGGGTATCCAGAGTTTGAGTCCCAGGTCATGGACCCTTCTGATCCCGCACCCCCTCCCCCAATTCACTTATACCGTCCTATCGGAATAAAGGCAAAAATGCCAAAAATAAATCTTAAAAAAAGAAAATGGGGACTCCAGCATCTTGTTCAGTAAAGCAGCTTTTAATGATGAATAGCAGCGCTGATCGAGGCTCTAATGATCTATTAAGTATTATTATATATTGATTAAAATCATTATAAAATGATTATGCTTTACAGAAGAAATATAAGTAGTCTGTGTAGCTACTGTAAGTTATTTTTAAAGGTGAATTCACACTTGCACAGAAAACATGCATATAAATGTATTCTCAGCAATATGTAATAAGTATTTTACTAGTAAGAATACAATTGTAGAGCTCTGTAACTAGATTTCTTACTAGTAAGAATTTAATTAGAGAGCTCTGTAATTGCATTTTTACTAGTAAGAACTGAATTAGAGAGCTCTCTAATTGGTATTGTTACTAGTAAGAATTGAATTGTAGAGCTCTCTAATTTAATTCTTACTAATAACAATGCAATTGCAGAGCTCTCTAATTCAATTGTTACTAGTAAAAATGCAATTACGACAAGTAACGCTGGGAATATTTTAAGCTAAAACAGCATGCCATATAGTCTCACTAACTGCACATTCTAATATGCTTTTTTTCTCCTCATGTGCATTTGTAGGGTTTTGGGATGATGTTGATGGAGGAGGCCGAGAGGATAGCCAGGGATGAGCACGGCTCAACCAAATTGGCTGTTATCTCAGGTATCAAAAATATTCTCTGCGTTAACGGAATGGCACATTCATTTTGTTGGTTCTTCTCTTGCCCTCGCTTGAAAAGAATGAATACGAAATTTTGACATGCACCTCCCCAAATCAGCTGCAGGATGGAGATGACAGCAATTGGAAAATAAATGAAAATCTGTATTCATATTATTCCGGCTCTGACGCTTTAATGTGAGTGCCTGATAACTTTTGTACTCGCATGTCTGACAAAGAAAGAAAACAACAACAGTAGAATATATTGGAAGTACAGTGGGGTTTTCTTGCTCTAGGTATCTTGAATCTGCCTGGCAACATTAGCTAAAATTATGGTTTCTTTCAAATGACTAAAAATGGTGAAGTTCTTTTTCCTTCAATCAGAGCAAATTCATTAATATCAAGATATACATTGATATTACAATTTAAAATAACGGTCTTCTGTTTTAATTTTTTTTAAATGTTATTCCTGTGATGACAAAGCTAAATTTTCAGCAGCTATTCCTCCAGTATTCAGTGTCACATGAGTCTTCAGAAATTATTCTAATATGCTGATTTGGTGCTGAAGAGACATTTCATATTATTGTCAGTGTTGAAAACAGTCTGGTGCTGCTTAATATTTTTGTGGAAACCATGAAACATTTTTGTGGAAAACATGATACAATTATTTGATGAATATAAAGGTCAAAATGACCGCATCTTTTAAAATATAAATCTTTTGTAACATTATAAAAGTCTTTATTGTTACTTTTGATAAATAGAATTTTTGTCATTTTCTCAAATTAGCATGTTTTTTTTTCCAAATTACATGCCTCCATTAGAGCATGTAACATTGAAAGATTATTTTCTACTCTCTCCGTAAATCTGAATTTTTGGTCATTGTTCATGTTTTATGTTGGGTTCAGGTGTTGGAACAAGGAATTACTACAGAAAAATGGGTTATGAACTGGAGGGGCCGTATATGTTGAAGAACCTTTACTGAAGCAGAGAGGAATCCAAACCAAGATGTATCATATTCCCTGGAGAAAATCATCTGCCATGCAGGACACCAACTTTAAGGGGATCTTTACACCCCACCTATAATTGGACTGGGCATGAGGATTACAGAGAGCGTGTGTGAGTGGTCATCACAAAGCAAACTGCACTATTCTGTTACATGTCAGCCAAAGAGAGTATTCTGTACTTCTCTTATGAAGACCATGATACAAAGTATCAGTGCTTGTTAGAAAGGTACACTTATTCTCCTTTGGTCTTAGCTTCCATTTTACAGAGTTCTCTCTCCAGTATACTTGCCAGTGCATTTACTTCTTTGGGAAAACACTCATTCTTTTTTTTATCACATTATTTTTGGCTTCTACTGACAACATTGGACATAATGGAGGAAAAAAACTGCAGAGGCTCTCAGTTATCCTGCGCACATTTTTCATGTGGATTTGGGAGGGGAAAATAATTTATTCTTGCTGCTTGGCACATTTGATTAATTCACCATTTTTCCTGCTCTGTTCATTTTAAAGATGGATTAATTGCATTTTCATGTTTTCTTGGCTTTGCATGAAAAGTGTTCATCTGGTTATTTTTATATTTATAATCACATGATTGCACATTGTCATAAATCATATGTTGGCAAGCGATTTGGATGGAGTTGAAGAGACATAATACAGCCATCACTGAACATTCAAAGGAATTAATGGGTAAGAAATCATCCGCGGCGGTCTCCTGTCCAGCTCAGAAATGAAAAACCATTGCTCCCATTTTTGACAGAATGAAAAGTTCACTGGAACTACTCTGCTGCATTTCAGTGTCTGTCACCACACCACCAATTTCTGAGAAATGTCGTCCGGCGTGGCGAGAGCTGTCCTCCGCAGGAGACCTCATGATATGTCTGCTGATGGGTTTTTACTGCTTCATTTGACATCGCAATACCAGATTATATCGCTATCTCTGTCTGTGAGTCAAGCTGTCAGGCGAATGATGACCGACCACCCTTTAAAGCTAAGCTCAGTCAGATCACACTTGTAAGAGGTTTGTCATCAGAGAAATGGCTTCCAATAAATGGCAAGATGTTGTTTTGCCGCCACCCCACAATAAAGTGATGATTTAACAATAGTTGATCTCGTAATTTCCCGGTACAGACCCTTTGTTATGACCTTAATGGCTTGATAATCTCACAGTTAAAACGATGTATCCTACTGTATCCTACACACCAATCAGCAGCTTTCACTAAATCTCAGGAAGTTTTAACTAGACAATCCCATAATTGATTTTGCTAATTACACTGGCTCATAATGGTCATTATTCCTCTTAAGTGAAGTCTTACCAAAGCAGAATTAATACTGATGTAGCCAAGATGATGACCTCAGAGAATGAACGAGTGCTGTTTAGATAATGTGCATATTTCGCCACCGAGGTCAAGATGAGCCATTTCATTTGCAAACCAGCGAAGCGTGTGGAAAAGGGCAAAGTGTCTCTAGAGATGTAAATGTCACAGATGAGATCCACTTAGAAGAATTCACAGATGCTTTATGTTATTGCCGGTGAGGCTGTAAGGTTTCGAAACCCTTTAACACTCTTGAAAGTCATTAATATTCAACTTTGGCATTATTATTGGCCTTCAACTCAACACTGCAGTTATCTGCTCTTTGTCTTGATCATAAAGATCTGTTCAAAAAAATAAGCTGATTTACTCTTACAGAAGGTTTTTCATTTTCTAGACCCGAGAACAATTGAACACAAATACTTCAAATCCTGCCAAATATCATTTATATCCATCACAAAGAGGGATTTTAATTTCCTTTGGAAGATGGAGCACTTTCCCCAACCAGAAAACCATTTGAAGCATCCTGTAAAGAAAAAAATATCTACAAGACTGGCCGCTAAAGCTGCAGAAATCATGACAGTGCTGTTGGCGGAAAACAGGCGATCTTGAATGATTGATACATGTGCCATTTTTCACAGATAGACATTAGAGGAAACTAAATTATTTCACCTCCAATCTAGATGTTGAATATGCGCCACCAGCTGTGAAACTTCAGAGGTTTCAGTCATTTTGACTTTCTATAATTAGAATCGCTTCAAGATTTGTGGTGTGACCGTCCTGAATGCTCAGTTTCTTATGTCTTGCTGCTTCTGACAACACAACTATAGCTGATTATGATTGGCTATCCTTATAAGCATGAAGGCTGTGTTACAAATGATACAGATAAAGGAAGTTTTGACAGGGAAAATATGTTTTTCCACACAATAATGAATTGTTTCCCTTGTTTTATATTGTTCTGTAGTTGACTTCTCAATAAAGACATAAAATTACATGTAAATCATTGAAAACACCACAAAACAGAGCAAAAACTGAGTTATACTATTAGAGCTGCATGATATTGAAGAATGCAATATGATATTGCTTTAAGTGTGTAAAATCTATTAAAATAACATTTAAAAACTAAAATGATATAACCAACATGTTTTTTGGGGGGGGGGGGTCACTACAGCTTCTGAAAGTGAACTGCAGTGTTTGCTGTAGAATTACATAAAAAATCAGTTTAACATCAATGTAAACAAAAAACAAAATAACTAGCAATTTGTTCATTTGGGATATTTGAATATATATATATATATATAGTGTGCAGCCCTATAAACTACTAGTACAATTCATAAAGTATATGGTAACAGACACAGCACTCAAAAACTCAAGGCAAATAAAAAATCTATTTACTTTTTAAACTTGATTTCCAACTAGATGAACAGTATCACTGTTTGATAGTTTGATAACTTTTTTGGCTTCATCTTCAAGTTTTTCAGTGTATAAAGGAGACTGGTTGTTAGTATGCAGCTCTTGAGATCAGTGCACCTCTATGGCACGCCGAACCCTTTTCTCCAGCTGGTCTCCTGTGGTCCGGGTATCAGGATCAGAATCTAGCATGTCCATCAGCAGCTCGCACATAGCAGGGTTTGGAGGCGGCGGCAGTGGTGGAGCACGTCTTGCCCTCAAAAACTCAAGGCAAATAAAAAATCGATTTACTTTTTAAACTTGATTTCCAACTAGATGAACAGTATCACTGTTTGATAACTTTTTTGGCTTCATCTTCAAGTTTTTCAGTGTATAAAGGAGACTGGTTGTTAGTATGCAGCTCTTGAGATCAGTGCACCTCTATGGCACGCCGAACCCTTTTCTCCAGCTGGTCTGCTGTGGGCCGGGTATCAGGATCAGAATCTAGCATGTCCATCAGCAGCTCGCACATAGCAGGGTTTGGAGGCGGCGGCAGTGGTGGAGCACGTCTTGCCCTCATAGGGATGATTAACTGCAGGTCGGGATTCTGACAGAGTGCCTCACCTAACGGGATGAGCCAGCGGCCTCGCATTACATATGCGCCTAGAACAGCACAGAATAAACAGGAAACAGAGGTTATGCTTAATCAATTTTCAAGCATTATATGAAACAGGTCCTTCATTAATTTCTGTCTAAGGAGTTTCCTTTGATCTCCCAAATGGTGCATTTGAATTTGCACTATTCATTATAGTTCAACAACACTAAAAAGCAGCAATAAAAACAATCCAATGCATTTCTTCAAAGCACATGCCTAGCACAAACTCATTATTATTCACAGAACTACAAGGCAAACCCACGACAGAGAGGTTAATGGGTGGAAGGATGTTAATTGCCCTTATATAAATAAGCTGCAACATTTGACCTTTTAGTACGCCTGCTAGCAGCGCAGAAAGTCGCTGGGTTCGAGTAATTACTGAGGACTGCCCGAATGGCTTATGCACTCCATCCAAAACCTGCGTCCTCAGACAACTTTAGTTTATCTCAGCTATTACGCATTAAGATAATGGGCTACTATGTCAAGCGCTCAACAACAAAGCTTTCACAGCGATCTAAAGTGGTCTGCATGAGGCAACCAGACAGAGGAGTAACCGAAATAGCCACCTGCCTGCCAATGCTAGAGAAGAGAGGCTCTGAAAATTGTGAGAATTTCTATTCCTCTTCCTAATTTTATTCCTATTTCTGTGAAGTAGCTGTGACAATCACAAGATGGTGGGTTTTATATTAATCCTCATACCCATCATAAGACCTCATTTACTGCATATACAAGTTCCTATTTCATTTTAATCATAACAATACATGCATCATGGACCTAGATTGATTAAATAAAGACGAAAATATTAAAAACATTAAATGGGTAGAGCTAAATGAGCCAAAGTATTCCCCCCCTCAACTAACCCAGTTGCTCTTGATTGGTGCCATCCTCTAGGAAAGTGATTCTCTCCAGCACGGCCCAGAAAAGCACACCCAGAGAGAAGATGTCAGCCTGGGCTGTATAACTACGACCTGCCCAAACTTCTGGAGCCATATAGAAGTCTGAGCCGCAGGTAGAGGAAAGAGCCAGTCTACTTTGGACACCATCTGTAGGATTGTCCACCATCTTACTGAGGCCGAAGTCTGCTACCTGTAAGACATGAGGTGGAAGTTAACAGTGTTTATAACTAGAACCATCTTTCACATCTGGGGTGTAAAACATAATTATCACAATTGTTTAATTTATGCATTTATATTAATTTAATAACCATTAAAATGATTTAGAATAATTTAATTTATTTAGAAGAATATTTCTTTAATAAAATATTTAAATTATAGAACATTTAGAAATAAGATATGTAAAATAATTGTCTACAAAACCATTTATATCCATTCAAATCATTTCTTAATCTCTGCATAGGACAGTTTCACTGAATGAGGGACTCAGTGCCTCGAGCCATTTACGTTTTCTTCAAAAAATGTTAAAATCTAGTCTAATATTATTTGACAAAACCTACTTTTTTTTTTACTGCAGTAAAGCCACAGATATCCTTGCATTGGAAAATTTTTAAAAATACAAAATCACTTTTACCAACTATAGATAACTCTAATTCTAGATAAGCCCAGGGCAACTTATCTACTGTCCACTTTGTGCGATGCCTAATATTTGACTGGTAGACATTTACAGCACAATGGATCTGTCGCTTCAAAGCACACTACATTGATTGTCTCTACATGCAATGAAACCTAAAAAAACTCATTATTTGAAACTTTAGAAGAATGGATTTTAAGACAATCCACTTCAAACTTTATCTGTAAGTTGATTGTTTTGCTAGTCTCTGTATTGATTAATAGAATAGGCTCAAAAGGTTCAGGCACATTGTGTGATTATACAAAAAAAGTTATTTTTTGGGGGAAAAAAACATGATTAATGATCTGGGGAGAAAAAAAAACACCAGCAATAATCCCAATGCATTTTCTTATCATCCTTCCATCTCATAAAATGTTCTCTGGGCACTCTAAACCGTGAATTGTATTTTATGTTGTAGGGCAACACCAAAGCTTTTTGTCTATCATGCAAATACAAGTTCAAAAGTACTTTTGTAATGCTTTGTTATTTATCACAGCCAAGTTATAAGTGGAACAATTTCCATGCCTCTGGACTAATAAAAATTAAAGTGGTCATATGATGCTTTTTTAAAGATCATTATTTTGTGTATTTGGTGTAACAGAATATGTTGACCAGAAAGGGGGAGAAGAAAGACAATGCGGCCCTATAAGCAGTATAGACCATTTCAAAAGCAACATGAAAGCTTGTAAAATGCAAATCGGGCTCATGACAACTGCACTTAGTTTGACTCCGAATACTCCATAAGCCATTAGCATTTTAACCAATATTATTGTTTCTTAGAAGTACATGCTTGTAACATTGCAGTAAAAGAATAATCTTTGATATAAAAATATGTATTTAGATTGCATTCTTTTTGTACCTTCATGACCGGTCCTGTTTTAGTAAGACAGACAAGAACATTATCTGGCTTTATATCACGGTGCACTATTCCATGTCCATGCAAGAATGCAATGGCACTGCCGAGTTGCTGAACCACTGCATCGTTGCACTCAGCATCCGGCGGCCTGGATAGGATGTACTGGCTCAAATCCCCTCCTTCGCAGTACTCCATCACCAACCAAAGGGCAAAGCAGCGCCTGGGAACCTCCTCTGTGGGCATCAGCCTCCTCCTCGACCTGGAGGGATTCCTCAGTTGGGTTTTGGAGTCTTTGTCCACCACTCTCCCTTTGAGAGCACTCTCCA